TACTTGTCAAATGTTTTTCCTGAAGGCTAATGATAAGTCTATGAGGTGGCGGGGGGTGGGGGTGTGTGGTAGTTTAGAAACATTACCTCTCTAGTGGAAATGTATGTGTTGTTTTCGTCAAGGTTTCTACTAGTATGCTTGAAGTGTGACGTGGAGAATTTCGTCAGGTTTTCACAGCCTTGGTCTTCCTTCTCTTCTTGCTCCTTTTTCTGTTCCTCCTCCCGCTCCTTCTCTTCCTCCTCTCGCTCCTCCTCCTCCTTTACTTCCTCTTTCCCCCCTCCTCTTCTTTGTAATTTTCCTATTCCTCCTCTCTCTCCTCGTTTTTCCTCCTTCTCGCCTACTCCTCCTCTTTTTCTTATTCATCTTTGTCCCTTCCCTCCTTCCTCTCCTCAACCTTCTATACCTAATCTTTTCCCTCCTCCTCCTCCTCCCCCTTTTCCTCCTCCTCCTCTACACCTCAGCAGTTGCAGAAAGGTAAGGGGGAGACGGAGGGAGAGGAGAAGGAAGAAAACACAGTCATTACTTGCTACTTCTGGTTACGCCACTGGCTATGTTGTTGTTTACAGACTGAGGAACCAACCGTACCAACCAGGGTACAATGATTGTTGGTGACATTGCAATAACAAACAATTTAGTATCTTTCTTATCCCTTCGCCCCTGCAGGTGGGGGCCCCATAGTTTTACTATAGAGGTTTACTATGGGGTAGCAAAGAATACACCTGCCGTTATACTTCGTGTCGTAAGAGGCTACTAAAGGTCAAGGTCTGGTCGCCCGAAAAGTGCCTGTTTGCGGAGGGCCAACTACCCAATCCAGTAAAAACAGTCAGTTACAGAAACACAGACAAACACGGTTTTTTGTTTTTCGATCCTGGGAGACAGAGGAGATTCTGTAACAGCAGGAACAATGGAGAACAACGGACAAAGCCGAAATGACTCTCCTGACCTGAAACCTTCTCTGCCGAAAATTCTCCCCGGATTGCGTCGTGTACTTTTCGCACCGTGTAAGAAGCAGAAAAGATTTCTCAAGTATCACAAGAGATGAAAAGATACAGGTTGCACATACTAGGAGTCAGCAAAACACTCTGGATAAGTCTGGACAGAAGCAACTCAGCTCGAGGGAACAAGTATTGTATTCTGAAAGGATAGACAAGCACCATGCGGAAGGAGAGGGAATCATTTTGAGTAAGTATGCACAGAAGTCACTCAGAGGATGGAAACCACACGGGGAGAAGATCATCGTGGCTTCATTCACTACAAGGAGCAAGAGAATCAACAGGAATATAGTCCATATCTACGCCCCAACTAATACTGCTTCGGATGAAGACAAGATTGCCTTTTACAGCCAAGAATAACTACCAAGGAAGGATGTCAGCATCCAAATGGGAGATGCCAATGCCAAGATTGGTCAGGACAACGTAGGTTACAAGGGAATTGTGGGACAACATGGCTTGTGACAAATGAGTGAGAATTTGAAATTGGAGGCTCTGTTTTTCCGCACAAGAGGATTCACAAGGCTACCTGGGTTTGACCAGATGGAGTGACGGAGAACCAAATATATCATTTTGTATCTCACGTAGTAGTGCTTGATGAAGCCCACGTGGGACGCTCAATTTTAAAAACAATCAGGAAACGACAAATGCAGTTTTTGGAACACCTGAATAGACATAAAGGCCTTGAACATCTAGCTCTCACTGGCAAAATTGAGGGCAAGCGAGACAGGGGTAGGCCCAGAACAACACACTTAAGGAACCTTAACAAATGGGCAACAGGGAAAGATCAGGAAAATGTAGCTTTTTTGAGAGCATCCGAGCAAAGGAGGGACGGAAAACCATGATCGCCGATGTCTGTCGCAGATCTGGCACTGGATGATGATCTCACGTAGGTTCAGGCGTTCACGTGAAGATGTCATAGTACAGAGAGGGGCAGACGTTGGATCGGATCATCAGCTGCTGTTGGCAAAACTCAAGCTGCGACTCAAAACTCACGAAACCAGCACAAGAACCAACAGAATGAAGCTCCAAGTAAGTCTCTAGGACGAACACAAGAAAGAGGAGTTTCAGCTGCAACTGAGGGATAGATTTCAACCTCGGGCTGATCTTGGTGGAAAGGACATGGAGGTGGAAATTCACTGGATCAAGGTAAAACAAGTATTTACATTAACATGCCAAGAAATACTTGGTGCTAGGAAATGGGAACACAAGGAATGGATTAGCCAACACTCATTGGATTTAATTAGGATTAGAAGACAAATGAAGGCAGAAGCTAATTCAAATTGAACAAGAGGATTAAGAGGGGATGCATTTGAGAAGTACAGGACAACAACTAAGGATGTCAAGAAATCATTAAGAGAAGACAAGGAGGAATTCATGAAGAGGCTGGCAGAGAAGGCAGAGAAAGCAGCAGTAGGAGGGCACATGCAAATCCTTTACCAGACCACAAAGACTCTTGCCGGAAAATATTGGAAAACTGAAGCACCAGTAAAAGACCAAGAGGGGAAAACCATTTCTGGACAGGAAGCTCAGTCGAAACGACGGGTAGAACATTTCAACAGTCTCCTGAACAGACCACCACCGGGTAACCAGCCCAACATCCTGCCAGCAACAAATAAGTTACCAATATTCTGTGATGCTCCTTCAAAACAAGAGATTTTGGATGCTATTAAGAATCTGAGCAAAGGTAAAGCGGCTGGTCCTGATCAGATCCCACCTGAAGCCCTAAAAGCAGATGCCAATGTGACGACAGACCTCCTCCTCCCATTGTTTACCAGGATCTGGAATGAGAGCAAGTTCCCAAAGGATTGGAAAAAGGACACCACGTGAAGCTTCCAAAAAGGGGGATCCCAGCAACTGCAGTGACTACAGAGGGATCACTCTTCTCTCAATACCGGGTAAGTTCTTCAACAGAATAATTCTGGAGAGAATAAAGATTGCAACGGATCCAAGACTACGAGATGAACAGGCATGTTTCCGGAAAAATCGCTCAACCACCGACCAGATTGCCACGCTGAGGATCATTGTGGAACTGTCCCTGGAGTTGAACTCCAATCTGATCGTCAACTTTCTTGACTACGAGAAGGCCTTTGACAGTATAGATTGAGCAACACTTTGGGAGATAATGAGATATCACGGAATCCCAAGGAAGCTGGTGAACCTCATCAAGAGCATGTGCAAAGGGGCAAGTTGCAGGGTTGTACATGACGGCCAGCTCATCGATTGGCTTATGAAGAAAACCATCAGAGGACACAGAAATGGTATACAATGGACCCCAAGGACACAGTTGGACGATCGGGATTTTGCGGACGACTTGGCGCCTCAGTTGCACACCCAGAAAGAGATGCAAGCAAAGACTTCAGTATTAAACAGCCTATCAGAGTCTGTTGGATTGGGGATCCACCCCGGAACGTCAAAGGTCCTAAGGACAGATGCATTACGAAAGGAGCAGGTCACAATAGAAGGAAATGCTCTTGAAGACGTTGAATCCTTCTGCTATCTTGGGAGTATGATTTACAGAGAGGGAGGAACAGGTGCTGAAATAAAGTTCCGCATTGGAAAAGCACAGGCTGCTTTCATATCTTTTAATAGGATTTTGAAGACCAGAGATCTCTCACTTCGAACAGAACTGAGGATTCCCAATTCAAATGTGAAGTCAGTCCTGTTTTCCGGATGTGAGACGGGGATCGCATTACAGACTTGCATAAAAAGGATCCAGGGTTTCTTGAACAAGTGTCTTAGAAAGATACTAAGGATCAGATGGACAAACAGAGTCACCAACAAGGAAGTGTTAAAGGAAACAAGACAGATCCCAGTCAGAGATGAGGTGGGAAGAAGGCGGTGGCGATGAATTGGACAAACTCTCGGGAAGTCAGGAAGCTGCATAACAAAGAAAGTATTTGATTGGAATCCACAGGGCAAAAGATCTAGGGAAAGAATCATAGAAATTGATGCACAGAAAAGTGGGAAAACATGGAAAAGCATCAAGAGGCTAGCCCAGGATAGAGAAAGGTGAAAAGTGTTTGTCCGTGGCCTTTACCCTGATGCAGGGGGAGAAAGGCAATGATGATAATGACTTATCCCTTAGTCTAGCATATGACCGGTGGGGCGCCAAGGATGATCGGCCAACCACTTGTCTCCATCTTTCTCTATTATCAGCCTTTCAAAGGGCTTCACCCAACTTTAAACCAATCCAACCGTTATGTATTTTCCTATCTCTTTTTCTATCTGCCTTTCTTTCTCCTTCCTTGTGTAGTGCCCTGTAGGATCATTTTGGCAAGTCCTGTTGATCTTGTTAGGTGTCTTTACTATCTACGTTTTTTCCTTTTTTCATCGACACCTCGTAAAATATATGATTCGCCGACTGATGGCTCCTGAATATTTCGTTATTCGTTATAACGGTTTATCCAAATTAAGGATGTGTCGTACATATTTCGCTATCTTAGAATTACAAAGTTCTATCTGTTATTTTTTACTGTTTTGAGTCACGCAGACCATGCGATCAGAAACCATGTTCTATCTGCTCAATGAAAATCGTAAGGTTATTCAATGTAGTTATCAAGAAAGCTTGACAAGTTGCGAACCTAAAAAATGTTGACCTCAAATTTCTCAAAACTAGGTACTGAGCAATTAGAACTTTGCAGTTCTGTGGAAGTCTTGTCAATCCCCGACGTGTTTGAACCGCCTGTCCTCGGCTGTACTTTCAGAGAAAAACAACAAAAAAAACAGCAACAATAATAACAATCAAAAAGGAAAAGCAAAGCACCGTTAAGCTAAGCATGTTATAGTCAACTACGGATGGATTAATGTTACCAGGGGAATAAACAGAAGATCAACTCATCTGAAGTTCAACTTAACCGTTGGGACATGGAAAGCTACGTTCAACTTGATCGTTAGGACATAGAAAGCTAAGTTCAACTTGATCGTTGGGACATGTAAAGAAGAAGAGGTGCTGGGACCGAGAAAAATATATCAACTCAAGAGAGGTCAACACAAGGGAGGTTGGCTGTATCACCTGAAACCAGGAGCCAAGATGTTGAGAAAGAACGCCCACACCGCAGTCCTGAACCGCCGCCACACGTAGACGGCCAGAAAGCCCACGATAAGGCTTAAGGCAAGGCTGAGAGAGACGAGGAGAGCCGTTTTCCCGACACATCGACGCCACAACGCCTTGGTCGTGACAAGGTCAACGGTCCACCGGTCCTGCCCTCTGTCGTCGATGCACGAGTAGTTCCCGGACATGTCCAGCCTCACCCAAGTCGTGTGGAGCCAGACTGAGGGAGAAATAAGCGAGACAAGGACAGATTGATAAACATACAAAAATAGATCTATCAACGATTGAAAATAGACTAAATGTAGATGTTTTTACGTCTCAATCGACACAATATAGAAGTCCTGAGCCAGACTGAGAGACAAGGACAAGTCCACAGACATACATAAATCCATCAACGGTTGAAAATAGATTAGATGTAGGTGTTTTGACGCCACCCGCCTCCTGTTCCTTCAACACAATTTAGACGAGTGGAGCCACACTGAGAAACAGACAAGGACAGATCAACAAACATACAAAAATAGATCGATCAACGATTGAAAAGGCGCTCATATGACCTTATGCAGTTGCAAGCGCCGTAAAACCCTCTACTATAAAAGAAAATAATAAAAACGATTGAAAGTAGATTAAGGGAAGGTGCTACGGAAATTTCTATCTCTTCAGGTAGTCCATCTACATAATTTCCTGTGGTATCACTGCGTTAACCATGCTTGTAGGTATTAGTCAGGTATTTGAATGTGATGATACCATCATTCATCGACAACTGAGAGTAATATTACGTAACGATTACCTCAAAATTTAGGACACTGAAAAAATTATGCTAAGGCTTTTTCATGTTTCAAGCAATTTATTTGTCATTTGACAGGTTATCAACCACTACGATACATGTACAAACTTTTGTCAACAAGAAAACTGCATGTTATTTATATTACGTTTCGTTTGTTTTAGCAGCATATTCTGTGTGCTGCATTGGGAAAAAATGCGAACATTTTAAGGGGGGGGGGGTATAAAAATATTTTCCAAAATAAAACTGATAAGACTAAGCTAATAAAAAGTTGACAAAATGGTGCAATATCGTTGCAAAGACATCAGGCAAAATTTGAACCCTATTAGTCGAAAAATGTGGAAGCCGTTAGTACTTTTAGTAATAAAATCTTATGAAATGAGACTGTTTACTTAGACAGTAAACATTGAGCGAAAAAAGGAACTTTTACATAATATTCCTCTCAGTTGCCTAGGAATGGTGATTCTATCCATTCAAGTCCCTGTCTATTACCCTCAGTTACACTGAAGATAGTTATAACGGCAAACGTTGCACACTTTGAAAATTTAAAAAGGAGCTCAATTTCTGTAGCATTTTCTCTTAAATGTAGGTGTTTTTACTCCCCCATCTTCACAATTTAGACAAGTGGAGCCAGACTGCTTTGTTCATTTTCTTTTGGCACGAGTAAGTGTTTTACGGCGCTCGCACCTGCAATAAGGTCATGTGAGCGCACAAGACACATAAACATTTTCAGTTTTGTAGGAATGATATATTTTGCCCGAGGGGCAGCCGTAGCCTACTTTGATCGATTTTAGGACCACCAATGGATATTTAACGTGCACAACTTGCACAAGAGACCTCAGAGAGTTTTCCCCCTTGTCTGAGAAGGCTAGGTGTTAGATATTACCTACCAGAAGATCAGGGGTGTGGCTGAAAGACAGCAGTAAGAAAGTAGTAGTAGAAAGGCTGCAGAAAGAGCCAGGAGCCCAGATGAGGGGGCAAAGGAGAAGGATGAGAGGTAGAAATTGAAGACAAAAGCAGACGACAGAAAATGGTTAGAGTGCAGGAAAAGAGTGAAAGGTGAACATTTTAGGGAAAAAAATGTTCCGTCGCTGTCAGGTTTCGAACCGGGGACCTATTGAATGAGAGGCGAACAACTAACCTCCAGACCACGAGAGCCACCAAGCCAGACTGTGAGACGAGGACAGGTCGACAAACATACAAATACAAAATAAAATAGATTGATCAGCGGTGATTGATTACTACTGTTCTATTCACCCCCCCCCCCCCCCCCAATTAAGACACACAAAAAACACACAGAAAACATTTTTTTATATTTTTAAAAAATTAAAAAAAAAAAAAAAAAAAAAAAAAAAAAAAAAAAAAAAAAAAAATAATAATAATAATAATAATAATAATAATAATAATAATAATAATAATAATAAATGAATAGATATAAATAAATCAATTAATTGAATAGATAGATAAATAATTTTTTTAAAAAATTTTAATCAAAAAGCCATACTGATGTATATGGTCATGCAGACAGATTGACGGCTATCGATATCGTCAAATTGTTAGGTCAACCAATTGTTGTTGTTGTTCTTTGTTGCTGTTGTTGTTGCTTTGTTGTTGTTATTGTTTTTTAATGTTGTTGTTGCTGTTGTTGAATTTGTTGATACCCCACGAGGATGTCAGGCTAATATTATGAAGAAGGCAGTTCTCTACTCACCCAGAAATGGAACCCGTGAACACATACAATATACCGGATTGCCTTCCAGCAGGAGAGAAAAGTCGGGTTTGCTTTGAGCGTGTGTGTCTAACGCTGTCCTGAAGGCGATGTCTAAGGAGGAGATTGCATTTTTGCGTAGGTCCAAGACGCTCAGGCTTGGTGTAGTTGAAAGGTCAAATCCTAACGATGTCAATCGATTGCCTGACAAAAGTATTGAATTCATTCTCAAGTTAGAAGAGAAAATAAAACTTGGTAATTTATGGAGATGGTTGTCACGTAGGTCGATGTGTTGGAGTTTTGGCGTTTTCTCCAGCCAACTCTCTTTCAAAAGTTGATCGATAAAGTCGCTCCCCGACATGGCATTTAGCAAAAGAGTTTCCAAATTCGGGAAACTTTGAAGATGGACAATGTTTGGACTGCAGGTCACGTGAGATCGTGTCAAGTCCAGCAAGGTGACATTTTCCAACCCTGTCACGAGGCCGCTCCATTCGACCAAGTTAGTACCGACAAAGCGAATTTCTTTTACATTGTGAGCGTTTCTTATGTGGCTAGCTGGAACATTTAGAGAACCACGAAAACCAACAACAATGAAAGATTGTAAATGTTTAGGGAATCGTAAAAAATTGCCTCTTAAGAAGCTCGTCCGTTTACTTTCTCTAGGAATTCTTATACTTGGTGTTTCAGGCAATGAGCTGTTCACACTAGGTACAGTAGTTATTTGTCTTACATATCCATTATTCCAATTACTGTAAGGTGGAAGAGCATGTGCTTGGGTCACAGATGTGGATTTGGGGTCAAAGATGAAACTTGTTTTGTTACCAGATATTTTGACATTCTGAACATTCCTGAACTTGAAATCGTATTCCGGGCCACACCAGCTAGAAGCACTCACCTGCAGCTCCTCTAATGATTCGAATTTTATCAGTATTTCAAAATAGAAACTTCGCCACTGATCCATTTTTTCAATCAAATTTCTGGTAAATCGAAAGCTCTTCAAACATCTTCTAAGATTTGGTTTTGCGCTTAGTGCCATGGGTTCTATACCAACCACTTTGGAGTCATCCCAAATCAGCTGGGAAAGACATATGTTGGAGAGATGTTTAAGCGATTCTTTTGTCATGAGTCCGTCATTACAGGTTCCTTTTGGAGTGGCTCGATGGTGGCGCAAGTTCACTGCATGGAGATAAATTAAAACCATTGTTTTGTTTTCATAAGGCCATAGACATTTCATGATATTTTGGTTTCCGATAGAGACATAATGGATTCGAAGAATGTCAAGATTTTGAACATTGGCAAAAATTCCTGTTTCAAAATGCCCTTCTTTGCCTGAGCTCTCTAACACTAGTTCTCTCAGAGCCACATCTTTAAAACCTTCAAAACTGCTGTTCGACCCTTTCATCACGTAACTCTGACAATATACAAACAGGTACGCCAATTGTTTTAGTTTTGAAAACGGTTGACCGAAGTATATTATTTCTGAGCCTTCGTCAATTGACAACCTTGTCAGATGCGATAGGTCAGAGAATGGGACGGCAGAACTGGAAGGAGATTCCAGAGTGCCTTCATTTTCCCATGTGTTCCCCTTCAGGTACAAGTTCTCCAAATTAGGAACGTGAGAAAATAAGGTCCTGGAGAGACGTCTTGTATAGATATTGTTGTTCTCCAGGTTTAATTCCTTCAGCTTTCCAAGGCCCCTCAATGCATCCTCCTGAAATGATAGGAGAAAAATAGACCTGTGTGAACAGTTTCTAGACGTGTATACGAACGGAGCGGTAATACGGTCATGGGAAATGGTAAGACAAGGAAAGGAAGCAACCTTGAAAATGCTGCAAGCCGTCGAAAATGTTAAAAAGGAGGCCAAATAGAAATATAGATAAAATTACACCCAAAAAAGTCAAACAAAAAGGAAAAGAATGGGAGGACATAGAAAAACTAGTTCTTAATGCTTAAAAACCGGCGACCAGAAACGAATTGAGAGAATTGTACCAGATCAGCAAAAACTGGCTGGAGACTTTGGAAACTCATCTGAGAGACTAGTAGAAAAGAAAAATGTCTCCATGGTAACAACATTAGAAGATAAGAAAAATCGATAGGCAGAACATTTTAAGAGATGTAAAATAGACCGTCTCACTGCAACTATTGGAGAGGGAAAACGTTTTTAATTAGTGACTGGAATATTATTTTTCTCAATTGTTTTGTACTGTATTACAACAGCAGTAAATGAATGTCTGAGAGAGAAACAAACGGGAGTTTCGAACTGAAAGATTGGGTATAGATCATCTGTTTGCTCTGAGAAATATTATTGAACAAAGCAAAGAATGGAATGTCCCAACTATTTTGAACTTTGTGACCTTAAAAAGGTTTTGACCGCATAGACTGAAAGGCCATGTAAACATTCTTACAAGTAAATATATCCCAATGAAAATAACATTCTGTGTAAAAATAATTATTATATCAAGCCAGTTGCTATGTCCTAATTCAAGAACTATTTACACATTTTGATGTATATACAGGAGTTAGACAAGGCTGTACACTACCATTTGTACTTTTTGGAACTGTGATTGACTTTGTTATAAAATAAAGCAACAAAAAAAAGAAAAAGAAGCGTCATATTATGGCCAAGTGGCGCATATTCGGAAGAACGACAACAGCATGCACAATAAGCGCACAAAAATCGAACATAGTTTAACGACTACTTAATTAACATTAATTATGAGATCTAATCTTTCCACTTACGTGAATTGTGGTGACTCGGGAGTCACTTATGGTCAACACCTGAAGTTCGGACAGATGACTGAAGCATCCACTGGCCAGATTATGCAAAATGTTATGATCAAGGCTTAGAGTGGTCGCATTCTCGGGAAACCACGTTGGTTCAAGTGAGGTCAAACCTCGAACTGTGCAATTGACGTAATCGCCACCTCGCACATCATCGTCTGTGACGTCACACGGGGATTCGCCAGTTCGAGGAGCGTGCTCAAATGCCAGGGACTGGGAACATGTGAACGCAACCAAGATGAGGGAAAAAATCCTCGAAGTGGAAGACATGTTTATTTTTGTTTTGTTTTTCCATAAAGCAAGTTTAATAAGCGCAATCCAATCGGTTGGAACGTCTTAACGTCTGTCGTAAAACATCAGCTGAGACAAAGCTTAAGTTTTGTGAGGCGAGTTTTGGCTTGTCGCAGTCCAGTGGCTGGATCTCCTCTCCCGACTGAACTCAGTGCACATGAACTGTTTGAGAAGTTAGCGGTCACACAGTAGGTCCGATCAGCAGCAGACCAACGTCAATGTTCTAAGCATATTTCCGCGGTCTAATTTGCTGCGATTACCTGGCAAGCCACAAGCACGTGAAATGAGTGAACAAACTCAGTGTAGCCTAGTGAGTGTAGGAGAATAAAGGCACAGAGGGGGTATATAAACAGACGCGAAATTTGAACCGGCCTTCCGAGCCGCGACTTAAATCTACGCTGAGTAGGGATCGATGCTACTGGTGGGTCGACGCAGTGGATGGAGCTCCGGACCTGTAAGACCCACACACATCGTTCCCTGCTCGAAACTGTAAGTACTGAACACAATGTAGATAGGCTAACCAGTAGAATCTAGATTAGATATAACACTCGTCATCTCATTACATAATAATGTCCGATCAGCAGCAGACCAATGCCAATGTTGAAAGCAGATTTCTGTCCACTATGCACACATCAGAAATACACATTAACACTTACAAGTCGTAGACCTATCCCTGAAAAAACGGTATAGGTTTAACGCCCCTATCAACACTATTAGGTTATTTAAGGGGCAGGACCTCCTAGTTGAACGTCCGTCTCCGATAGAACCGAGCCAAGTGGGAAGTTCGTGTAAAGTGCCTTTCCCAAGGACACGACGTCGGACCGAGCTGATTTGTCGCTGCGAATGTAGTTTGAAAAGTGAATACGTTAGCATTTGTAGCATTAAAAAAAGATAGACCTCAAGCTACAAGAAGCAAATATTCCCCACCAAATATTGGTGTAGAATGAAGATTTGATAAAATAAATGGGATATATTTGCACTTCAGGCAAACAAATACTTAAGACAATTGAGGAAAACACTTTAAAATAAAAATTCATCCTCTTGTGAGTAGCTGTTCCGATATGTAAGAGTTGAGACACTCCACACTTTTACTCACTCCACACATGTACGCTACACTCTGCATTCACCGCACACTGCTCACGGAACACTGCATTTTCTACACGCGAAGACAGGACACACCACTATATACCAGGTTCTCACACATGGCAACTGGCTACGTCACCGTAAAGTAAGGCAACTGTAAAGTGAACTGGTTGGCGTCTTACAGTCGAGCACCCGCAGTTACTGGGAGACATTAAATTTAATAATAGAATACTAATAGAGTTATTAATCTTGGATGTCCTTGAATATAACACTACCCCGCCCCCAGCTTACTCACCATCACCCCACCTACGTTTTGCTGAAACTGTGTCCGACACTCTTTCGCACAGACCAGTCGACTGTTACTTTTTATTAAGCAACAACAAAAACAGACCCTTGTATGGGGTCCACCTTTGAACGTATCAGCTGTCAGTATCAATAGAGTGGTCAACACCGGGAAGAAAAATGTCAGCAAGTGCGAGTAGGATCTTACTGGTCCCCATCTATGAATATTTCAACTTCTCTTTTTTTCTCAACTTCGGAAAACCGGTGAAGAACAGGTTTTTGTTTGTTTCTTTTTGTAAAGTGTTTTACGCTCGCAACTGCATAAGGTCATATGAGCGCGCGGGACACACCTAATATTTTCAGTTGGTAGGAAATTTAGAATTTTGCCCGGGTGGCAGTCGAAGCCTACTCTTATGTATTTTAGACCACCAAGGGATCTTTAACGTGCGCAACTTGCACACTGGCCCTCCGAGATTTTTTGCTCTTGTCCGAGAGGGCTAAGTGTAGATCTTTCCTACCAGAAGATCAGGGGTGTGGCTGAAAGACAGCTGCAGTAAGAAGAAACGAAGGAGTAGCAGTAGAAAGGCTGCAGAAAGAATCAGAAACCCATAGGAAGGAGCAAAGGAGGTGAGGGGGTGGGGGGGGGGGCAGAAAGAGGAGACGAAAGCAGACAACAGAACATTGCTAGAGAGCAGGAAATGAAGTGAAAGGAGACAAATTTAGAGAAGAAAATTTGTCGGTCGCTACCCGGATTCGAACCCTGGACCTTTGAATGAGAGGCCAACACCTAGAATCTAAACCTGTAGGCCACGAGAGCCCCCCTCTGACTCCGTGTCGGGCGTTAATATGGTTCTACTCTAAGAAGGAGCCAAGGACCTAAGGCAGTAGAAAGGCTTCAGAAAGAGTCAGGAGTATTGGGGGGGGGGTGTTGTGGAGGCAGACAGTGGAGACAAAAGCAGGAAAGGAGGTGAAAGAGAGGTATTATTTTAGAGAGGAAAAATTCCCGTCACTATCATACTTAGAGACCAGGACTTATTGAATGAGATGCAACGAAAGCCCTTATCAGACATTCTGTCGCCCTTATCTCTCCTCCTTTTTTGTGTTTGTTATGCTCTTGTAACACCACTAGTCATCGACACTTAATATGACCTAATTGTGTTGCAAGTGATAACGCTTACTAAAGTATTGAACACATTTAAAAAATTAAGAAATAGATCTAAATGCGTCAAAAGCCATATTTTAATAACAGGATGTTACACTGCAACCACCTCTCGTGTTTGGGTTCACAGAGTACTCAAGTCACTGAGCCAAAGTGGTTAGGTTATCACTTCGATAAACAGGTGCCAACAGGCCGACGGGATTAGTCTAGGTATCTTTACTTTATGGTCGTACTATTTTACACCACGTGACTCAAGGGCCACGAAAGCCCCAAGAACAGGTTTGAGGATGGCGAACAGTGTGGCCAGGCCACAAAATTCTACACTTATAGAAGCGGAACTCCCTCTTTGCGATCGCTGATTCGCTGTGAGGAATTGAAACTAAAACATGGCGGCCAGTTGAGGGCACCTTTGGCTGCGCCGCACAGCGAGGCTTCGCGTTGCTATGCACGCTGATGCTAGTGGTAGGGCTTAGAAGACACCTTACATCCGTATTTTAAAACTTTCTTCG